CTTTCATTTGTTACTTTGTACAAATAATTTTTATTTCTTCGAGGCTCTTCTGCCTATTTGGTTTGTTACAAGGTCTTCTAGACCCCAAACCTTGCATCATTAGCTCTCAGACTCCTGGAAGAAAGGGGAGATAAACAGGCCTTTGAATGAGATTGTACAGTTGTGGGTTTCCAAGCAGAGAAAAGTGGACCTGTGTACTTATGGGATCCTGAGCCACCTGACTGTTGTGAGGTCATTTCTTTTTTTTTTTTTTCCGGTACCAGGAACCGAACTCATGACCTTGTGCTTGCCAGGCAGGCCTGTGCCATTGAGCTAAATCCCCAGCCCCTTTAGGTCATTTCTTCATCTATAAAATGGGAAAGCAGCACCGTGAGGATGGGTGAGGTGAAAGATTTGCTGAGCTCACTGGCAGAGAGAGCCCTAGCTCAGGAGGTGAGGTGGTACCTCGGGGCTGAGAAAGGGGTTGGAGCCCAGGCCCAGGAGGGAAGGCTGGGAAGGCTTGGAGAGGGACCTAAGCAATCAGGAGAGACGGCTGTGGTACACAAGGGTGCACAAAAGTCTTCAGAGCCAGAGAGCCAGTGGCCAGTGTGGTCAGTAATTACTGGCTTGCATACATTTCTGAGCAGAGAAGGAGCCAGCCAAGCCTGTCTGGGACACAAGCCGAGCCCCGACTCTGGGAAGGAGAAGATCCTAGGGCAGGTGGGGGAGGGAGGGTGGGTGTGAGAACACAGAGCAGGGGTTGGAGGTGACACACATGCAATAGCAGGCAGAGCATCAGGCTAGGACCACAGGGCGAGGGGAGGCTCTGAGTCTCTGGGTTCATTGCAGTCCCGGTGGTAGAGGGGACAGAGACTGGTGTGGGGATTTTCCAAAGGCGGAAGCTCAAGGATTCCAAGCACATGACTCCAGCGAGGGAAGCTGGGTGCAGCTTTGCGGGCAGAAGGAAAGCAGTCTCACCCTGGTTGGTGTTGATGTTTTAAGAGATTTATCTCTCTCATCATCAGAGGATAATGACATTGCATGACAGTGTGAGAACCATTAATTAATGTCTGTGCAGTGCTTGGAGGGACAGGGAAGGTATAGCATTTGGAAAGGCTGAAGTCCCAAGCATGTGATAAGCACTGCCTCTCTGCAGCAGCTGGCTGCAAGGCCAGGGAATTAATATGATGTTGTTTTTAATAGAACAGTGACAGTCATATTAGTCCTGCCTGGCCACACTAATGTGAGCGTGCTGCTCCCACAATCTACACCAGTTGAAAAATGTCACCCCTCACGTGGTCCTCTGTATTACTTGTGCTACATCCTTACCATGCAAGTTCATTGTGGCAAGCTCATGCTTTTTGGCTTGTAAATCCCTGTTTGTTGACTGGGATGTGAGATAAAATGACAGGGAAAGAGCTTCACTGGGAGAAAGGGATTTCGGGCGGTATAAATGGGGTGGGACTGCGGCCACAGATAATGCTGGGGCGGGGACTGTCTATCACATTTAAATGACTAAGGCAGATATTTATCTTTCTGGGATTATTCTGCTAACATTTCTGACCGAGGGCAGATTTCTGTGACACTAAAACAAGGAAGGGGGTGGGGATGCAAAAGAAAGCTAATTTTGTAGCTGGTGGCACAGTTAACTTCCTTTTATTTTAGGGGAGAAACTTATAAATACTTGACTCTAAGATAAATTTTGCCTAAGTTCTTTTCTTCAGCATCAGCCTCCCTGTCCCTGTGCTCTCTTGTGCTCCCCTTACACTGCGTCTACACTGGCCCCTTCGTCCCTTACTACCTGTCCCCTACTCCCAGGGCCTGGGGCCTCAGAGCTCATCCGGGTGGCCCAGGGCCTATGCTGGTGCTTGGAGAGGAGCCTAGAATCGGCCCTGATACAGCGGTCCAGCTGCTGGGTGCTAGGGGTGGGGCAGTGTTACTGTGGATAGTGACTCTTGCAAGAGGGATTGTTCCTAGTGCACAAATGGTACTCTCTAAAGAGTCTCTCCTCTGCCGATGAACAGAACTCATTGCTCTCATCTGTGGGTCATGCTGGGAAGTCAGTAATCAGAAAAGAAATATGTGTGGTTTGGATCCCATGTGCCTGGATACTTAGATAGTTGAGAGGGCTGGTGAGAAATCCCAGCTCTGTAATAACTCCCATGTACGTCAGTCCTACCTGAGGTGAGTAAGCAAAGGGTAATATCAACTGGGAACAGAGCTACCTTTTATTCTCCTGTGAGCTGCCTTCTGTTTGGGTGCTGGGAAATTCTCTACAATGAGAACAGCAGGAGAAAGAAGAGAAATAGAGCATCTATTTGGAAAAAACAGCCTAATAGAGAATGCACAAAATTCTCTATCAGAGAATTGACTAAATTCTCACCTTTAAGGAACAAATCATGTTAAACATTTCTCAAATGACTAATGATGTTGAACATTCATCAATAGTCGTTTGAGAAATGCAAATTAAAACAATATTGAGATTTCATCTCACCCCAGTAAGAATTACTTTCATTAAGAAATCAACCAATAATAAATGCTGGCGAGGCTGTGGAGAAATAGGAACTCTTCTCCACTGCTGGTGGGAGTGCAGACTGGTGAAACCACTGTGGAAATCAGTTTGGAGATTCCTCCGCAAATTAGGTCTAGAGGTCCCATTCAACCCAGCTATTCCCCTTCTGGGTATTTTCCCAGAAGATCTGAAAACATCATATCACAGCACTATATGTGCACCCATGTTCATAGCAGCACAATTTGTAATTGCTAAATTGTGGAAGCAACCCAGATGTCCATCCACTGAGGAATGGATAAAAAAATTGTGATACTTTTATATAATGGAATATTACTCAGCTATAAAGAAAGATAAACTTGAGGTTTTTACAGGTAAATGGTTACAACTAGAGACCATACTCATAAGTGAAAGAAAGCAGACCTCCATGTGTAAGCAATGCATTGTCTCATTAGTGTAAGAACCTGAAAGAGTAAATAAAAATTAGGAGGTATGATAGACATTGTGAAATGAAAAGAAAATGCTCAAAAGAAAAGAGCAACTGGGGTGAGGGAAAAGAGAAAAGAAAGAAGGGGAAATTATGTATGTATGTATATACAGGATAGTTAACAGAGATGTACTACTGACTTCTATCACTTTACTGAAAGGAGCAGTTAATGATTACTTATTTGATCAATGTTGCATGTTTCTATTTTCCTAAGAAACCACTTTGAAGATATCAATATGTAATACAACAACCATTGTTAATTTCCTACCACTTTGTCTCTAACTCTATATTGTTTGTAATTATAATTGCTATCTTATAAATGGATGTCTGTTTGTTAATATGTTTTCCTTCTTTTATTTTTAAAATAAAAATAAATAAATAAATAGCAACAAGAAAAAAGGAACAAATCAAAGGATGGAGCAGTCAAATTTCCAACTGGCCCTAAAGCAGTGGGTAGGAGCTCTAAGAAGGATGACCTAGGAGCAGAACACTCTGGCTGCATGGGGGCAAGAAGACACCTATGTGCTCCATGAGAGCTGGTTCCTAGAGAGGAACCCATGCAAAACTAGGGCACTGGTTGGCACTTGGAGCCTGGACCACAGCTGACATTCTCAGTGCATAGGATGAGTAGGCTCTGAGGGCGCATTCTCATTCACTCTTCATTGCCTTTCAAAGTTAATAACCTAGGCAGAAGGACCAAGAGTTTTGCTCCATTCCCTAAAAATGTTAATCTAATATGCCATGGTGACTAGAACCACACAACCCACAAAGTTATGGCATATCCTTGTGCAGAATAGTGCATGGACTGGGTCTTGGGCCACAGTACACATCAGAGATGGTTCACCAAAGCAGAGTGGTCACACTCCAATGGCAAGGACACCTACATGGGCGAGGCTCCAGACTGAAATCTGATAGTGATGATAATGATGTGATAAAGGATGACAGCCAGCTCCTTGCTCTTCTCTCATGGGACAAAGTCATTTGTAGTAGGCAGGCCCCGAGGGCTTCCAGGGCAGTGACACTGCTCTGTGATTCTAGAGTGGTGGACACATGACATCATGCATTTGTTCCAATCAGCAGGGCCCCAACAGCAAGCACAGACCCTTGTGAGGATGCTGGGCTCTGGGTTATGGTGCCGTGGTGGTATGGGTTCATCAGCTCACACAAAAGGGCCGCTTTAGTGGTGGGTATGGATAGGAGGGAGAATACACACAGGGACAGAGAGTTTGTGGGAAATAACTGCACTGTCTGCTCAATTTTGCAGGGAACCTAAAACTGCTCTAAAAAAGACTAAGACAAAGAATGAAGTGCAAGCACATGTTACAACTGGGGTGAAGCTTGAAAACATGCTTAGTGAAAGAAACCAGACATAAGAGTCATATATCATATGATTTCACTGTGTGAAGGTCAAGAACAGGCAAAGCTATGGAGGCAGAAAGTGCATGAGTGGCTGGCTGGGGCTGGAGGATGAGAGGGCCTGCAGGTGAGCATGAGCTTTGGTTTCTTTTGGAGTACTGAGAATGTAAGGTGGCGGTGACAGGTGTACAGCCTCGTGAACAGGCTGAATACCACTGAATTTAAAAGGGGAAGTTCATGGTACATTAATGATACCACAATAAATATGCTCACAAAATCATCTGTACATAAACAAGCAGATCTTTGGATGAAAATTGAACTCCATTCAATTTAATCCAGCATTCATAAGTGAGGCCACACATCCTGTTTCCTTAGTGGCTGTTAAATAGTATAGTAACAGCTGTAATCATGGCAAATATTCTTATAATCATGTAGATTCTGAAGTAGACTCACAAAGTCATGCTAATTGTTATAGACAATTGTTATAGACATTACGGGTGCTACAGATAAGAGCATCTATTTTTCTGTCTTCAGAGAACCTTCTAGTTTTATTGCTGTAGTGCTTGTATTTCTTAGGTAAACAATAACTGCAGGATTTAAAATAAACTATTATAAGCAAATGCCACTCTGTGTAAATTTATTAGTGCTCCTTTTATATTCCATAAGCATTTATCTTCTGAATCTTCATGCGGAGCAAAGAGAAAATAATGTGAGATCTACAGCCAGGATATCTCCTGGCACTCTGCAAAGGCCAGGCTGACCGGGGACAGAGTTGGTGTCATGAAAGAGTGAGTAAAAACATTGTATGGCTGAAAGTAAAACAATTTGAACTTTTCAACATAATATGAGCAACGTGTTACTGATATTAACATAAATGTTAGGTGCAAGTAGTGCTAAATTTAATACTGTTAAATGCTAAAAACACTGTTTTCTTCATATTTTAGTACAAAAAATCACGTTCTGCTAAAGGCTAATGGTTTACATAAAGAAAATTTGTGATGATTGTTGAGAAAAAAGTATCACAATTCAGTATCAACCACTTAAAATAAAAATTTATGAAAAATGTTTTCAGTGTTGATAAAGTGATGAAAGATATTTAGAAAGTATCATATTCTTTAACACCACCTACTCTGTGGCTGAAAGTAATCAGACATTTTACACAAGAAATATTTGTTCAGCAGGACTTCAAAGGCAGCCTCACAGGGACACAGGCGGATCATAGTGGCCCAGATGTTAGACTGTGCTCCTTGAAGACAGGCACCTGCTGTAGTGTGACAATAATTTTTGAAAAACTACAAACCAAAGTAATTAAGTTCAGCCATAATTATCAAGCTTTATCTTTGTCACATAATACTACTGGAATAACAGATGTGCAAAACTCCAGATTCTGAAGATATGTTTGTTTTGTTGATTTTGGATGTGTGTAACTTCACACCAATCACTAATTTTTTTTTTTTTTTTTTTCCTCCGGTACCAGGAACCGAACTCACCACCTTGCGCTTGCCAGGCAGGCGCTTTTGCCGCTGAGCTAAATCCCCAGCCCCTCCAATCACTAATTTTTGTGCTTGAGAAAAATGACTTTAATGAGAACTCCTTCTGCATGAGACACATTAGGTACAAAATTACAGTCAGTGTCAGTGAGGGTCTAAAGAGAGAGCATGTCATTTCTCCTAAATCTTTATAGAAACTTCCAGAGGTTTTAACTCACATGGTCCAAAGTTACCATATTCAGTTCTATCTGGACACTGCAATAATATTTGTAAATCAGTGACCTTGTATCCTTCCCCAGCAAGCCTTATGTTTGAATTACACATCAAGTTACCAGCAGAGAAAATTAACTACTATGTTTGAAGAGCTAGAATGAAAATAAAGAAAATTGGAAGAATGTTTGGATCTTAATGGTAACATGTTCAACCAGAGCTATTGGAACATTTTATCGAGTGCATGGAGATGTGTACATTCCTTCTAACAAACTGGTGAAATGGGAGTGGCCGAACAGTGGAGGACTGGGTTCAATAAACACTGCCGTCTAACATAGTGGTGGAGACTTTCCTGAGTCTGAGAAGAGAGATATGCTTCCATTGTTAAAGAGAGGGCAAAGACTGTTTTTCATGTGTGTTCATTCTTGTAGGTGAGATCTGCCCTGGCTACTCCACCCCATTCCCCAGTCTAATTCTTTTTCAATAACACTTCTCACTTTTAAATCATACATGCTTTCCTTTTTTGTTATGTTTACTAGTCATTTTTTTTCTCTACATTCCAAGCCTATGAAGGGCAGGAATTTTTGTTGTTCTGGATTCTAATGAGTGATGGAACTAGAAGAGCACCTTATACTTGGTGCGTAATTAATCAAAAAATATTTCTTGAGTGAATGCACATATATAACAAATAAATAAAACCATGAAGGACATGTATAAGATAGTACTTGGGTAAATAAATAGGATTTAAAATCTGAAGCAAAAACATAAAATAGCCACCATACTAGAAAAAAAAAAACTGTTGACCTGTGTGAAATTATCTGAAAATTCATTTTTGCAATGATGAAAAAAATAAGGAAAGTGAAATGTTAAAGTTGTTGAATGCCTCAAATTCTGAAACTAAGTCAAATGACATTTGTGGAGATCTGTGGATAAAGAAAATCTAGTTAACTAGTTAAATATGACAACTGAATACTTTGCATGATATAGTTCAGTAATGGAGATACTGGGTATATAAGAATATCAGATGTGTGATTAGGGCTGAAACACCTACATGTAACTGATGTCAGTGCATCAAAATCTCACATAGGTTTCTGCATCAATGATGTCTGAGCAATTCTCTATCCAGAGATAAAGAATTAAGTCACTGAAAATTTTTCATTTGGAAGAATGTTTGGATCCTGATGGTACCATGTTCAACCAGAGCTGTTGGAACATTTTATCAAGTGCATGGAGATGTACTCCATTTGTTTATTTTCATAAATAAATTAAATAAATAAAGTCACTGAATTACTATGAAATTGACAGGGAAAGTGTTGAAAGAAATTTGAGGGTGCTGCCAATGTCAAACTATGACTCTCTCAAGGGCATCTTATAGAAGCAGATAAGTCAAGAAGAAAGACATGACAAAAATATTTAGATTTTTGTCTTTTTTTTTATTGTTGTTGTTATTTTCTCCCGGTACCAGGAATCGAACTCACAACCTCATGCTTGCCAGACAGGTGCTGTGCTGCTGAGCTAAATCCCCAGCCCCTAGATTTTTGTCTATGATTTGAAAAATATTAGAATCATTTGATAAGTAATTTGTGCTGCAATTCATCTATATTTGTAAATGGTTATCTATAAATGTTTTTTATAACAATTATGAACTTTATCTTTTTTTGTTCTGTTTTGTTTTTCCGGTACCAGGAATCGAATTCATGACCTTATGCTTGCCAGGCAGGTGCTGTGCCGCTGAGCTAAATCCCCAGCCCCAACAATTATGAACTTTAGAAACCAAAGGAGAATAGGTTTTATGATTTTACATATATACTATTGGTTTTATTGTGCAGTTGTTAGGCACTGTGTGCCTAACTTGGCACCGACAAGGCTATCCTTTTGCAAGGATTTAGAGCGCAGGTTGTCATCTTGGAGGCCAAAGCACAGACTGAAATTTCCTAAGCGAAGCGGAAGAATTCCTGAGAGAAGAGGGTGCCTAAAAGTGCTCTCACGGTGGGAAAGCTGCTTCTCTAAAGTTCTGGTGTGTTTCACCAGACTAGACAGGCAGAGAAGAATGAATGGAAAGACCATGCGGACACCAGCTCAGGCATGGGTTTGGTGCCAGGACAGCCGGTAGGGATGACGTGCATGAAAAGCACGGGCGAGGCGTCCAGCCCCAGTGTGGTCGGGGCTATGGTTGGGGTGTGTCTGCCAAGCTTAGTGTTCATGCGGCTGTGCTGAGGTGATGGGGTCTTTAAGGAATGGGTAGCCCCTTGTGGAGATTGTATTTTAAATTTTGTATCATTGCTTTTTTCTCTTTAAAAAAAAAAAAAATAATAAAAATAAGGTGCTCAAGCTGGGCATGTAGCTGCACTGTAGCTCAGTTGAAAAGCCAGAAGTTCAATTCCCTGTGTACTCCCTGCCCCAGTACTATATTCTTTTACAGCTGGGCTAGAGACAAAGAGGCTGAGCAAGAGCTTTCTCAGCATGACAAAGCAGAAAAGAGCAGTGGGAAATGCATCAGGCTTGCCTTGAAAGCTTGTACATAGCCTCACTGGAGAAAGAATGGTCCTCAGATAGTCTGAGAACAGAAGTAAAGCTGAGAGGAAGAGATAGGTGGAAGAAACCCACAGGGGTCCACACTGGTGCCAGGAACAGGACTAGAGGAGCCCGGGATGGGTGACGTATGAGGCCTGTAGGCCTTGGGAGATGTCAGAGCATGGGGCACGGATATCCTTCATCTGAAGTTGAGTGTTGAAGCTGAGAAAAATGAAACAAATTCTCTGAAATGGAGTCTATGAGCCACAGGAACACATTAAAGTTGCAGGCCAGTGTAAGAAAGTCTTGAGAGGTGCAGAGAGGTAAAGGAAGGTCATTCATCAGGTTCTGACATCCTGAGACCAGTGAGGGTCCCTCCGCTTTGGTGGTAGGTGTGTGGACTCTAGAAGCTCAGGTCTATCCTACGCTCAGCATCCAGGGATAGGCTGGGGCATTCTCTCTAGCAGCACAGTCCTGCCTGAGTGTGATTGTTCCTCTCTCTTGTAGAAGGTTCCAAAGTCAAGCACTTCAACTGCCTCATTCACTGCAAGGCCCTCCTTAGGGAAATTCCACCTTTGGAATCTCACTTCCCATGGGAAAGTCCTGCTCCTGGGCAGTTCTCCCAGAAGGCCTCACAAGGCTTCTCCTTTGCTTTCCCCTGGAGCGTGGAATGAGAGCTGGGAAGAAGGGGAACTGAGCTGACGGCACCATGGGCTCATGACAGCTGTCCTAGGATCCTGTCACTCTCCTTTGGTTTCTTTCTTGAAAAGAGTTGCAGTGAAATCCCGCTTGGTACTCTTTGGATGTAAAATCTGCTAGTGTGTTTCTGGTTACTTGTGCCTTCGTATATCTCAGGCTGGCCCTTGTGTCAGTGTCCGTGATTAAGCCTCATCTTCCCTCTCTGTCCCCCTTTCTTTGTCACCCAGGCATCCCATATTAGTATTGTTGAAGTGTAGTGCAAAACCCTTTATGTGTGTGGTAATCTCTGGTATGTTAACAGATGGAAAGAAATTGAGAATGCTTGAGGGTAAAACGTCCCATTGAAATGGAGAAAGTAAATCTCAAGCAGATTTAGGAATAATATTGTGTAGGAATGCCATGCCAGACACATTTATTACAACCTATATGTTTGTTAAAAATGAGTTTAGGGAGCCAGGCATGGTGGCACATGCCTGTCATCCCAGCACTTGGGAGACTGAGGCAGGAGGATCATTGCAAGTTCGAGACCAGCCTGGCCTAAAAGTGAGCTCAAGGCCAGCCCGAGCTGCATAGCGAGACTCTGTCTCAAGAAGACAAAAAGAGAGCCCTTAGTTTTGTATTTTTCCTGTTGGCATTTGATCATTCATTCTGTTTACTCATCTAAAACTTTTGTCACTGTACAGAACTAAATATAATCTTGGCATACTACATGCATAATCTTAGAGGGAGATGGAGTATTGAGAGAGATGTTCTTTTGAAAAAACTATTTCACAGAAAGTGATAGTAGCAAAATTTCCCTTAGGGCTATTTTAAAGACAACCATGCACTAATTATAGAGTCATAATTTAACCTGAGGAAGAAAGAAAGGAAACTGGAAAAAATAGTATGTGCATTTTAAGATCATTTTAATACAAATATAGAGGAATGAGTAGCCTGTTAAAGGAAGGGTTCCCAGCGTGGGACTCTAGTATGGAAGTTTCATAACAAAGCTTATTGGGTTAATAATGTCCTTTATTTATTGTGGGCTGATCAGATCTGCAATCTCCCAAAGAGTGTACGGTGAAGGTTAAATAAAAAGAAGCAAATGGAATGATTTCAGGGTTCCCAGAGGATCAAAGCCCTCTCATAAAATTTGAGATTCTTCTCAGGGCTAAGACCGAGATCACCTCTGACTAACCCATATTTATTTAGTTATCCAAAGAAGGGAGGGGTGTACTCAAGAAGGGCAGAGCCACTGAAGGACTTCTCTAAGTAAGGTATTAAGTTAATCCACCCAGGAGTGAGGTGCCTGAGGCAATAGTCTTTATCTAGTTGAGGTTGGATACAGGTGTCCTTGGCTGTGATTTTGTCTTCTTCTTTGAGGCTTTCCAACTTCAACCACCATTACAGGCCTCAAGCTAGCCAAGTCTTTTCTAGGGAAGGGAGACATCAAGTTCACTAGTGGCAGTGGACCCTTCTCTCCCAGGCTGGATGGAGGGGTCACTGTCCTCTTCATGGAACCTTGGGTCTGTTCCAAATATGTTGTATTCTGCAAGTGAGGGTATGTCCTACCCTTCCACCTTAAGAGCTAACTGGCATGAGATTATCAAGAATTCACATATACAAATGTTACCAACTGGTCAGCAAATCATAATAATAACAAAATATTTCCTGGGCACCACAGGCCATGTTGTACTGAAACATCAACACCTCACCACAGGAAAGTGCTGTTCCATCCTATTTGCAGACATGCTGTCAATTGGTGACCTCAAGGTGGGTCTTGCCTCTTTTCAGAATTGTGGAACCAATAACAAGACCAAGCGCTGATTAAATAGGGAGGCTTTTACTTTTGGTCAAGAATAAGAGAAGTTAGAGATAAAACCACAAATGAACTTCTCAACCCATTGAGGCTTGGGAGGTTATAGATATAGGGTAAAAGAAATGAGGTAGAGGGACAGGATAGTGAAGGGGAGGAATATTTATGCCTTCTCTGGGAATGGGTGAACATTTTCTAAGAATTCTGATTCTATATCTTTTGTTTCTCCATCAACATCAAGGCAATTTCAACTTGTCATAGTGCTGGGGTGTGTCATTTAGCATGCAGATGGGATCATAATGCAGGTGGAGGTGGTCTTGAGGTCACTATGGCAGCTGTCTTGGATCCAGCCAGTTTTGGCGAGGACCCCTGAAGAGCAACCACAGGCCTCTTGTCCTCAAACAGGAGTAAAACTAGGACAGGGAGAAATTCAGCTAGATCAGGCAGACAGTACAAGATTGGACCAAAATACCAAGAGGCCACCTGTGCAGGAAGAGAA